GTCCCTGCTGGCCCAGGTGGCAAGTATTAAAACATACTATTGATATTTGCGTCTTGTCCTACCGAGTCGAACCAAATGATTTATGCTGTGAACACAGCACGCTGACCCATAGGACTGAATCAAGAAAAGTGATTATCTGATGTGGACATGAAATCCCCACCCAATTGACTCGATCAAATTAGGTTTGATCAGAGCAGATTAACTAAAATGAAGGAGTAATGGGAAATGTGAAAGAGGTGTTTGGCATCTAAACTTCACTCGCAGAAAGCTCATTTCTGTTTGAGCAGATGTTCGGACAAGAAAGAGAAAAAAAAAAGTCAATTATTTACGCAATATCGTATGACCAACTGTGCTGATATTTTGACCAACAGCACACTTGGGAGCTTGAAATTGCTTTTATGCTAAATTTAAATTTACATGATGTCAATTCTAAGAGTTACATGTCATGTAATATCAGTTTTGATGCGCCAATGAAAATGTTAAACACTAAATGCTAAAATGTAAAAAAGCACATTATGTTCAACGGTTGCTTGTCTCAGATATTGTCTGAGTGTGTGAATGTATCACAATGATAAATGTTTTTAACACTGCTTAAAAGTAAAATGTTAAATACATAGTGTGTAGATTAGATGAGACACAGACAGACAGACAGACAGACAGACAGAGATAGATAGATAGATAGATAGATAGATAGATAGATAGATAGATAGATAGATAGATAGATAGATAGATAGATAGATAGATAGATAGATAGATAGATAGATAGATAGATAGATAGATAGATAGATAGATAGATAGAGCACTTTTGATTTCGATTGATTGAAGATTAATATGCATGAAGTATAGAAGGGGAGAGGGACAAAAATATAATATCAAATAAAATGCCACGTATCTGTCAGGATCACTCACTGTATCTTTCATAATTACTCTCACAGCAGAAGATATTCTATAGTTCAATACTGGCAAATAAAAAAAAAAAAGCAGGCAGTGTGCGCTTGAATCTCAAATATCAATTGTTCCCTTTCATTGGTTTCTTTGCCAGGCACTTCCAAACCCCATTTGAATGTCTAATAGAAGACATTATCTGTAATCAAGAGTGGCTAAACACAATAAATGTGACAGGCGAAAAGCTCTGGAGCCTGACAATGTGAAGGTTACTCAAGAACAAGCCAGAGCACAAAGACTTCAACTGATAAAGCTCACTCACCAGCCTCATTAAACCAGATGTTAATGTGCTTATCTCGCTGAAATGCATCACATTAGCCAATTCAAAACTGTTAGACTGATGCAAAGTAGATGAGCATCAGGATTCAGGAAGGTACGCTTGATGGATGTTCAGTTAAGTCCTAGTCGTCAGTCAATAATTTGGGGGTGACATTTGATTGCAACTAGTCATTTGAAGGCCATTCATGCTTTTATGACCTTGCAGCTACATTACTGTAATGCATTATTAGGAGAAGGCCCTATAGACCTAACAAACAATCTTCAGCTGGTTCAAAATGCTGATTTAGTGGCCCCTTATAACTAAGAAATAAGATCATATTAATCAGGTTCTGTCAGAATTGCATTGGCTCCCTATTGAAAATGGCTCCCTATCCATTTTTAAATCCTGTTTATTACTTGCAAAGCCTTGAATGACTTAGAACTCCCCAACCTACAGGGGTCACCAAAGCCATTCCTGGAGGGCCGGTGTCCTGCAGAGTTTAGTTCCAACCCTAATAAAACACACTCAAACAAGCTAATCATGGTCATACTAGGTATACTTGAAACCAGACTGGTGGGTTGAGGCAAGTTACCAGCCCTTCAAGAATGAGATTGATGCACTGATCAACTGTATTTAGTCCTTTGTGTACAATTGATTATAGCTAGAGTATCAAAATCAATCGTAGGCATAACTGCCAACATTCGTCTCTGAAAATCCAGGAGTCTGGGGTGGGGAGGTGAGGGGTTATGTGTATGCCGAAATACCGAAAAGCAGGGTGGAGAGGGGGGCGTGCATGTCTGTATCCAGTACCGTTCAAAGACTTTACCAAGGATGGAAAAACCGAAAAGTTGGGGGAAGAGTTTTCCGGTAGAAATGACAAAACGGGAGATGGTTCTGAAATACGGTAGACTCCTGGGAAAAACGGGGGTGTTGGCAGGTATGATTGTAGGTGTTCCTACAATATCCTTTTCCTAACTGTCGCCTAAACTTTACAACAGTCCCTCTAGAACTATTTGGGAGGAAATAACGACACTTTGCAGTACCATACACGTAAAAAACACAAACCTTTCAAAAGGGCACATGTGTCAAACTCAATTCTTGGAGGGCCACAGCTCTGGACAGTTTAGTTTTACCCCAAATTTAACACACTCGATCAAACTGAGTCATGAGGCTTGTTTAAAATGTACAGGTAGTGTGTTGAAGCAGAGTTAGCTGCGGCCCTCAAAGAACTAAGTTTGACACCCCTGCCCTAAGGTATGACCATGTTTCATTATTTAGGCCAAATAGAAGAAAAGTTGCTTTCCAACAAGACACCACCGAAATAATGTGATCTATGCTCAAGTTTATCTGTCTATCTCTCTTTACATCCAGTGCATAATCTTGGATCTGGTCAGTATCTATAGCAGACAAAAAACAAACTCAAGACAGCCCCACACGGTCTATAAGGATATCAATGTGTCAAGAACGAAAGATCCCCCCGACAAATTCATCAGTGTCAGATGAGTGAATACACTATGATTCACCAATCTAAGTCCTACAGGGCACACACCAAAAACATCCCATGCATATGCAAATGTATGCACAAATACATGCACCGCCACCCATCCACAATAGAATGAAAATGGTGTGCTGGCATAGCTTAACTGTGTGCTGGGAATAGTGATCCCATAATTAAGTGATGAAATTCATCAAGGTCCTGTTGCCTGGATCTTGGATCCGGTCTGTTTCCAGAGAAGATTGTTGTAAAAAAACAAACCCAATGCAGCCCCACATGGTCTATGAGGATATTATAGTCAACAGCAGAAGATTAATCCTGCAAATTACTCAGTGACAGATGAACGTCCACATCAGGGTTCAACAATCTCAGTCCTAGAGGGCTGGTGTCCCTGCAGAGTTTACTTGCCTGAACACACCTGTCTAGTTTCAAGTATACCCAGTAAGACCTTGATTAGCTTGTTCAGGTGTATTTAATCAGGGTTGGAACTAAACACTGCAGGACACGGGCCTTTTAAGAAAAAGTTTGTCAACCCCTGGTATACACAGATTATTTTGGTCAGTCAGAAATTTGGCCCTAAAACCTTCAACTATACCTTGAAGGACACATATCATTCTTATGGCCACAGGGGTTTTTGGACTGCAGTTCTGCCTATTTTCCAATTGGCGAGAGAAGAACTGCTCCCTCAACTGAGCCAAGCTTTGTTTTCATTTTTCATCAATAGGTTGCAATTTGGTTTCTTCCACTGTCACCTCTGGTGAGCTTAGTTGGGGTCTGTTCAGTTGCTCTACAGTGGATCGTTCTTAAACAGGAACAATGATATTAACTGAATCAGTTTAATTTAACTACAACTACATTCTACCTGCCTGATAGTCTGAATATGCCAGATGAAGTGAAATATTGTTACGCTTTTATTTGATTCTTTCTTGTTCATCTATGCCATAGGTCTCAAACTTAATTTCTGGAGGGCCGCAGCTCTGCACAGTTTTGTTCCAACCCTTTTCTAACACATCTGGTCAAAATAATCAAGGTCTTCTAGAGTAGCCTTAAACATCTTCATTAGTTGGATCAGCTTTATCTGATTAGGGCTGGAGCAAAACTGTGCAGAGCTGCGGCCCTCAAGGAATTGAGTTTGAGACCTATGATCTGTGCAAAACAGCTTTGTATTCCACAGCCATATCACCTAACGGCCCAAGACCGTTCACTCACTGAAACCAAGCAGGGCTAAGCACCTGTACCTCACTCAGTACCTGGAAAACTAGACCAGATGGGAAAACTAGATTGCTGTTGGAAGTGGTGTTAGTGCGGTCAGCAGGAGGCACTCGACCTGTGGTCTGTGTGGGTCCTAATGCCCCAGTAAAAGTGAAGGGGACACTATACTGTCAGTGTGTGCCGTTGCATCATCCAAGTGGATGCTGCACACTAGTGGTGGTGTGGAGAGACCCCCTTCATAATTGTGAAGTACTTTGGGTGTATGGCCATACACAATAAATGCACTATATACATACACATTACATTACATTACAATCTATATTGCAAAAAAAAAAAAAAAACACTATAGAAACATAGATGACTTGACTACTGCTTGTGTTTTAGATCCATATTGATATTGTTCGGGGAACTAATTAATTATATTTGCAGACTACCAAAACTTGTGTTGTTTTCAAATACTTTTCAACCTTATTTCACTCTGAAGAGTTCTGTAAATAACCAATTAATAAAGCTGGAAGAGGCAAACACAAATTCTGTTGGAGCACAAATACAGAACTGAGAAGGCAATCAAAGTGAAAGTGGAGGAAAAAACAAGCAGCGCTATATATAGCGTTAAAAAAAAAACAACTGATGAGAGTGAAACACACTACATCTCTCTATTTCCCATGAAGAGAGTGGAGCAAAAAACATCAACAATATGCTCTCACTGCGGTCTTTCTCTCAGAAATTAAAGCAATCATTGGGTCTAATGCAGGCTGAGGAGATAGAGGCCTTGTGCGGGAGGAGAGGAGAGGGCTTCCTGTCTCCAAGAAATGGGCATTGAATTCTGATTACGGCCACCTAATAGAAAGTAATGAGAGAGGCTTATGCTCCAGTGCCTTCTGCTTTCCTGGCCAGAGCAGCGAGCGCTCTCCACTAAAGGCCAAAGCACTGGTGCACTGATTGGGGCTGACACTGCAGCTGAAGGGGGGTGGAGGGGAATAGGTTAGTCAGAGACAGAGCGAGATAAAGAGAGTGAGGACACGGGAGGAAAAAAAAAAGAGGAGAGTACGGAGTTAAGTAGGCTGTGCTTCACAGAGGGTTACGCACCATCAATCCGGCTGACCAGCTCCTCCAGTGCCTTTACTTTTCTCTGGATCCCAGGCTGGGCGAAGGTGTAGTTGTCCTTGAGGGAAAAGAGAGAAAGATGAGAAACTAAGCCACACATTAGGAAACACGTTTGATGAGCAAATATTTCAGCGATGTGCATTCATGAAATGATTTAGTTCGTGACCTTTTTCGTATGACACACGCATGCTGAAAATCACTGTACACTTAAATTAGATTCAGGACAATTTCCCAGGAATATACTGTAAGTTCTTGTCATCTAAAACGAGTAACATCTTAGCAAAAACAACATTTTTTAAATTACAAAATATACATTTTTTTTTATAATATTTATATATAGATTTAAAGCAGGGGTCACTAATCTTATTCTTGGAGATCCGGTGCCCGGCAGGGTTTAGCTCCAACTTGCCTCAACACACCTGCCTGGGTGTTTCAAGTATACCTGGTAAGACCTTAATTAGCTTGTTCAGGTGTGTTTGATTAGGGTTGGAGCTAAAATCTGTAGGACACCGGACCTCCAGGAACATGTTTGGTAATCCTTGCTTTAAGGGAATAAATTGTTCAATTCAATTCAGCTTTATTTGTATAGCGCTTTTACAATGTAGATTGTGTCAAAGCAGCTTCACATAAATGGTCATAGTAACTGGAACAGTGTGGTTCAGGTTTTAGTGTTTAAGTTCAGTTCAAATTGTACAACATTACCTGCATTTTATAGTTCAAAATACTAACTATATACATAATGGGGTTGTAATAGATCACGGTTTATCCTCGATTCAAACAGATGACAACAAAAAGGTCAGAACACACGTGACCCTTGTAGATTAATCCTAAATTTTTAACAAATCGCAATGAAATCCTCTCTCGGTTCATTCAAATCCCATGCATGAGAGCATTAAGGATTACCTGTAAAATATAATGATCACATAAAAAGTTGTGGTAGGTTATTTGGGATGTGGTGGGTTTCATTAAAGGTGTTTTCTGTCACTACTTGTTTAACCTCTATTAATGCATTCAGTGTATGCGGCACAATAAATCAACACCCACAGATGATTAATTATAAACGATGATAATACGCATATGTTTATTAGTCCTAAGAGATTCAGTCTTTAGCCTTTTGAGTTATTTATGAAATTACAAACAATCAAAGAAGAGAAGTACTAGGATAACAGTTTATAGTTTAGATCAGGGGTGTCCAAACTCGGTCCTGGAGGGCCGATGTCCTGCATATTTTTAGTTCCAACCCCAGTTAACATACCTGAACCAGCTAATCAAGCTCTTTTTAGGTATACGAGAAACTTCCAAGGAGGTTTGTTGAAGGAAGTTGGAGCTAAACTATGCAGGACACCGGCCCTCCAGGACCGAGTTTGGAAACCCCTGATTTAAATAAAACCACTGATGTTTATGGTAAAGATTAAAATCACCGTCATGTGCATTTAACTTGATGCTCAAAAATTAAAACTGTAGGGAGCAATTACATTATTTAACCAATAAGTGGTTACACCAGCCATCAAAACATATTTCACTGAATAATTCTTTAAAAATTATACATCTAGAATAAAACATGACACTTTTTGAGTGAATAACTAAATAGTTTATTGAAAATGGAACTAAATATACATTTAAATATATATTTTTTCTGCTAAATAAAATTACAGGTTCTAAGTTCTGTTTGTTAAAATTAAGTTTCTTGCATTACAGTTTTTGTAATAAATAGAAAGCAATGGTCCGATTAGTGACCAAAAAGCTATAATGAGATATAAACCATGAAATTTATGATCCGTTACAGCACTAACAACTAACTAACTTACTAAAAAAAATTTTTCTTTCATTATGCTGTGAAAATTAAAATACATTACAAATAAGGAATATGCTAAGGTATGTACACGAGACACATTTAAATAATGTTTGTTAAATAGCAGAACCTAAACAAACCAGACAAGAGCAGTCTGTGGTGACAATGTCAAGTATAGGCTGTGTTGACTGAAATGTTAATGAAGCCCTGTGGTCTCAATGACACACTGTGCACCGGATACAGCACACACCAAAAACATCCCATACATATGCACATGTATGCACAAATAAATGCACGACCACCCATCCACAATGGAAAAGAAACGGTGCGCTGGCACAGCTCAACTGCGTGCTGGGAATAGTGATCCCTATAATTAAGTGATAATATTCATCAAGGTCCTGTGGCCCACAGTGCAGCTTAATTACCACATTCATTTCAGCCTACGTTAAAAGACCCTTCTTGACCAGACAGCTACTTAAAAGACCCCCACCCACCTCTCTCCCCAAGCCTCAGTGGGATTCCCTTTGTGCTCCCGCTAGACGAAACTCACGCCGGCTATATTGCCCATAGAAACGGAGCACAAGTTCAGCTGTCAAGAGCCACCGCGAAACAAGCGGTAGGTTAAGAAATGATAAATTGGGTGGTTCGCGAAGCTGTGATTGCTAAGTATGGATATAATCAACAGAAGCTGAACACCCATCATTCAAAGCAATAGAACAGCTTATTTAAAAGAGGTTTGTGTACAAAGTAAATGACAGACTGTGTGTGAATGTATTCGCAGAATGGGAGGAAGATATTCCAACGGAAATAGGTTCAAAGACACCTGATGTGAGAACACTTTTGTAAAGAGTTTGAAGGACATTTGAATGTGTTTAGAACAGAGTACAGCCAAACAAAAATAAAGAGAGACAATACATTTGACTCTACACCACTGACAAGATATCTCGTCAATTAAAAGAGGATACTTTTTGGCCAGGGCTTGACATTAAAACCAGCCAACCCTTGGGTAGATTTCAGCTGTGGTGGATTACACAGCTGCTCCCACTATAGCCACTTTGGCAAGTTGGAAATAATTTTTAATTTCTAGTTTTCTTAAAAGCAGGATTCGACAATAAAGATGGCCCAATATGCATGCAAATGTGTTCTTATAATCGAGAAGCAGCACAACTGACAAAAAATGTGTTCGGGCAAGCAAAAGAAAGCAGGTGAATACAGAATAGGAGGATGATACAGGGAGCTACTGTATAAAAAGCGCATGCACATCTGTTTACTTTCGCAAAGCGACCATGCCTGAAAACTCAACTGGTGTTTAGTTATCAAAACAATTATTTAATTTTGGTGTGGTCAGAGATAAATTTGTTAAATTCCTAATTTTGAGCCTTAAAAATACATGTGAAATAAAAAAAAATAATTGCAGTGCGACACTATAAAACCACAACCAAAAAAAGTGATGTGAACATAACACAAATTGTAAAACAAGTCATTTTAGCATGTCAAATTTAAGCATATTAAATATATATTTACCCAACAACAAAATTGTGGCTAGTGAAAATAGCGAGTTGCTAGTAAGGTTGGAAATTTATGGGTCAAAGTGAATGGGGATTAAAAAGTTAACGTCAAACCCTGTTTCTGGGAATTGACAAGTAATTACGACAATCTGTGGACTTTACAATAGGTGTATTACAGTAAAAGATGTCCTGAATGAGTTACGGGACTTCTGGGTTTCCTGAGGAATAAGAAATAAGACGATCAGACAAAGTGTAGATCAAATCGCCTGTAAAAATGAGTTATTCAATTTACCCCTTTCATTATCAGGGTCTGAAACAATCCAGCCCCATTGATCTGGGTGAAGTTATACATGTATAGGTTTGTGTATGGGTGTTTATATGTGCACACATTATAGTTGACTTTTTTTTATTTTAACTAACTGCATTCAAGTGGAGATAAACATGACTGCACGAAGATAAGTTGTTTATTTATTTTTTTGTTGTTTTAAAGCAGAGGCTTGGTTTTTAATTTTCATATATATTGTGGTCATATATTCCTTCAAAAAGAGCCATCAAATTCTGGTGAAAATCATCAAAAATGCTGGTGGTGGCTAGTAAGTAATTTATTTGTTTATGTTTTTTATCTGTCTACATTTTACTTCCTTCTGCCACCTTCTGAAACTTTTAACATCAAAACCACTGTCATGATGACCATGGAAATGGACAATTTCATTGGGAAAATGTAGAGATGACGGTCTGAGTGAGAAGCAATATGAGTTATATCATACTTAATGGGGACACCTTCAGACGAACTCTGGAAGCTTAAGTTCATTTAGTAGCGAAATAGATCCGTAATTGCTTAGAGACCCCACTGAAATGGCAGCAAGCATTTTCCTTTACATCAAATTTCATTGACGCAAGTATTCTCTCAATGGCTTCTTACCCCAATCAATATCCGATGGATCAACTTCTAAGTGGCTCTTTGAGGAATCCAAAGTTTGTCGAGAGGTAGCAATTGCAGGAGAGTTAATTAAACACTTTGGACAATCACCTAATTGCTTGCCAAATTTCGCGGTCCTCAGTGCCTTGGCAATCAAACAAGTGCAAAACACCCTGGATTGAACAAATAGGTCGTATATTTTCGCTTTTCAACTTACAATGGGATATATTCTGCACTTTGTGAGGCTCCACCTTTGATGAGACTTCAGAGAATCGGGATGGTTTAATGTAGCCTGGGAGCAGCTGAGGCGGCAAACACACCCGTGAGGGGAGAGAAGTCATTAACCGATAAACAATTTCAGCCGTCCTTCAGGCTCAGATGTGCAGCCTCTGCGTTCCAGAGGTGCCTTAGATGAATACATGAATAGCTGGATCCCGACCATTAAAACCAGCCGCCTCCTATTTTGCCGTGACCTCGAAACAGGACTTTAAAGGAGCAGCACAATGAGGCGGTGCTGAAACAGATGGGGCGTCTGCAGCCGAGTCCGTGCTTGGCCTACTTTCACAGGTCTACACCTAATCTTCAGCCTGAGCACTGACCCTGGAGGATGCTTGTGGCTCAATGAACATTAACGTTCCACGCCGGGCTAATCTATCTCTGCAGGAGTCCCTGAGAGTTGGGGCAAAAGCAGCCGTGCTTTGGGGAAAGGGGTGAGAGTCACGACTCGAGCTGCAGTCACAATCAGGTCAGATCTGAGAACATATTACAAGGGCATCTCATGGGCAAAGTCTTGGCTTCGGCTCCTGCATACCTACCCAAGTGCTAAGTTATGTTAACGG